CTGCTGGCGCCCGTACACACTTGGGGACGGACTCCGGAGACTGCATCCAAGGGTTTGGAAGGTGGGGAGGCACTGAGAGTTTTTTTTTAAGTTCCCTAGGAATTCACGTCTGTCAAACCCAACAGGGCAGTCCCAGTGGGCTGCAGAAATCGCAGACATGGCATGAGATTGTGTTCTGAATACAGATAGATGCTCCTCGACTCCAATGAGGTTACACCCCCGTAAACCCATTGCAAATTGAAATTATCTCAGGTCGAAAATGCATTTAATACATCCAACCTATCTACCCAGCATGTGCTCAGCACACTTGCATGAGTCTACAGCTGGGCAACGTAATCCAACACAAAGCTTGTTTTATAATAAAGGGTTGATGGCTCGTGTAGGTTTCTGAATAGTGAAGAACAGAATGGCTGTGTGTGTACCCACCACTAACCTACACGCAGGAGTCCCACACGGGTGTTTCGCTACTCATGGTGAGATGGGAAAACAAAACAGAATGCCCAAAAATCTCTGGCAGTGTTGCTGCTGACCTGCTCTTGAGAGAATATTGTAGGGCACATCTCTAGCTGGGGAAAAGATCAAAATTCAACCCAGTATTTGGCAACCTACTATTTGTCACCACCCTTCTCAGTCCCCCTGTCGCCTGGTTTCCTTTATTTTCCCTTTTGTGGTGCTGAGGATAGAACTGAAAGACCCTGTGAACGCTAAGTGCATAACTCAGTTTCTGCACATCAAAAGTGGGATTGATGCCAGGAGCTAATTCATTGAATTGTTCTGAGGACTGAGTTATGTACTTGTGTATTTTGTGTATCACTAGGGTGATGCCCAGCTTCCGTACTTGTATTTTTCTAAAAATTTCTTGTAGGGTGTGTATCTGGTTTTGTGAAATAAATTCTTTCCATTTCTCCAATGCTGCAAGCATCTTGTTGGAGGCCGGCCTCAAATCATTGCTCAGAACCAGCAAGAGCTTGCCCAATTTAAAAACTCTACACTCTGCACCACCTCAGCCTGTAGCTGTATAGGGTTTTATTGGTGTTTTCTGCAGTTTCTAAAATCAGATGGACTTAGGGAAATGTTTCCATGTGTTATTTCTAGCATCCTCACTTCCCTAGGCATCTGGACGGCGTCCTGCAGAGGGGCGGACTGGCAGAGAAGAGATGCCAGCCTGGCGGACCGCTTTCCCTACCTCTCCAGAGAAGTCTGACCACTATGCTTCTTCCTCACGCGCCGCCAACCAGCGTCCAGAAGAGGGCGCAGGCGAGTCCTGCACAGCAGTGTTGAGGCACTAGGTCCCGGGTGTGGGAGTCGCGGCCACAGCCAAGTGCCCAACCTATTTTGTGAGCTCCCATGCTCGGAAAGAGGAGCCCCAGTCCGCTTCGCTAGTCTTTTCAACCAGTATGAATCCATTCATGGCTTCCATTTGAAGTCTTCTTCCTTTCAATGAATTTTCTTCTGATGAAAAATTTTCTAACAAGTCATTTACACATGATGGAAAATTTTCTGTGGATTCCGTTGCTTACTTTTAATGCTTTGGTTGCAGATTTTATTACACTTTAAATCTGAATTTTCTCACCATTGTTTAGTAAATATTTAAGGACAGCAAAGTCCCTTCATAGTTGTCTGACAGTGTGCAAATAGCTGTCGTGTTTTGGTGAAACATTGCACAAACATCTTGCTACAACGCAGTTTGAAAATGGATATTGCACCGAGGCCTGGTGGTACCTGCCTATAATCTCAGCGCTGAGAGGTTGAGGCAGCAGGATTACAAATTTGAGCCCCGCCTGAGCAATTTAGTAATTTAGTGAGAACTTGTCTCAAATTTTCAAGAGTATTTTTAAGGATTGGGGATGTTGCTCAGTGCGAAGACCCAGGGTTCAATGTTGAGTACCCACTCCCCCCACACACACAAGGATATTCAGGCTGTCGGGGTTTAGACTGAGAATGATCCTAAAAGTGTCTTGTGCTCAGAGGCGGAGCTCGTGGAGGTGATTGGATTATGGGTTTTACAGCTATATTCGGAGGTAAGACCTGGTAGGAAAAGACAGCTCCTCCCACCCCAGCTCTTCCCTTCCATCTCTGCTGAGGTCACCTTGTGGTGAGCATTTACATGGGACACAGATATCTTTACATCTTTCTCTCACATGGAGAGGTCTATCCACATACTTATCCTGTCATTTGTTTTGTAGACATGTTGCTGTTGAGTCCCTGACCATCCAGCCAGACCATTGGCTACAGTCCCTGAATGACTACACAGTCACATATCTGGCCATCTTTTCTTCCAAATAAAATGTACGGCAGATGCACCACCCAAAGTTTTCCCATTGTGAAGCTTTCCCTCACCACTGTCCCTCAGGGATGTCCCAGAAAAGGGCTGTAGTGCTGCAGCTGTCCACTTTTGGGTGGTGCCTCCATAATGTGCAGAACTACCTGTCAATTGTGCCCTACTGTTCTCCCTCCCTCCCCTCTCTCTCTCTGTTTCGCCCCCCCACCTTTCTTGGCTGCCGTGATGTGAGCAGCCTTCCTCAAACCTGCCCGACATGGACTGAAACTTCTAAAACTGTGAGCCAAAGCAATCGTCTCCTCCTTCAAGAGGGGAGCGTTGGGTATTTTGTCCCAGTGACGAGGAAAGTGACTAAGACAGTAGCTTACTTTCACAAATCCCAAACTATCATCTGCCACTCTGCTGGTACTAGGGGTCAGAGGAAGTGAATTTGAGTCAAATTTGGAGAGAAAAGACAGTGCTTTTTATTGATTGTGGTTGAAATTCATCTTTTTTCTAACTTTACCAAATCACATGATCATTGAGATTTAGGCCCAGGTAGAGTAACAAGGACTAGATTTTTCTTGCACCAGAAATAACAAAAAAACAGAGAAAATACATGGAGCAATGGTTCTGAAGACAATGGAGAGCCAGATATGTAGTAGGAACACTGGTCCTGCCCCAGAAGGCATAGTGGAGGCCTTTGGGACTTTGTCTCCGGGGCACTGGAAAGCCATGAAGTTTTAAATGGGAAGGATGTGAGCTTTAAGAAGATCTGACTGAAAGGGATGAATGTAGCATGTAAATAGATAATTCCACAAGTATGTAATCACAATGCTGATGGACACAGACTGTATTAGGAGGCCCCCGACCCAGATAGGCCTGAACACTGCACAGTACGTGGGAAGCCTCAGAGGCCAGACTGAGGTGAAGGAGAAAAGCAGTTCTCCTTTTCCTTGTCCTCAGCTGCCTCCCTCACTTACAGAAGAAATCCACTCACCCAACAAATATTTTATACAGCAATTCCTATGTGCCAAGCACTGTTTTAGACACAGCGGTGAACAAGAGCACACAACCCCCCCTTCTTGCTCTTTAGTGGGAGGACCCAAGAGATGGAACCCAGAGGTTCTCTACCATTGAGTTATATTCTCATCTCTTTTTGAGGCAGGGTCTCAGTAAGTTGCCCAAGCTGGGCTCCGACTTGCTATCTCCTGCTCCAACCTCCCAAGTAGCTGGGATTACAGGCATGAGCCACTACCCTGAGGCAAAAATTGCTCATTTATGAAGCTTCTATTCTATTGAGGGAGACAAAACAAATGGGAATGTAAGTGCTATGGAGAAATAAAATAGGGAAAGGGGATAAACACTAACTTAAGGCAAGTTTAAATAGTTGGTCTGAGAAAAATTCCCCCAGGTAGTAACATCTGAACAGACCTGAAGGTGAGAAGGGAACCATCTCCAGGAAGAACATTCCAAGCTAAGAGAACCACAAGTGAGGAGGCTTTGGAGGGGAAGCCAGTCTGCATGTTTTAGGGGCTGCTAAGAGGCTAGCGTGCTTAGAGCAGGTGCTTAGAGCAGTGGGACTGGTGATGAGAGGGTAGGAGATGGAGGCACAGGAGACCAAACTGTGTGTGTGTGTCATTTGTTAGAACTATTCTTGGCGGAGGGGTCAAGAGTGTCCCTCCAGCTGAGTGGGCACACTGTGGAGGACAGGGGCGAAGCCAGAAGTCAGGGAGTGGGCTACTCCAGAGGTCCAGGCTGAAGGAGATGGTGGCTTGAAATCTGTGTAGTAGGGGGGAGGTTCTGAAAACATTTTTAAGGCAGAACCAAAAGAGAAGTCTTGATAGATCAGCTATGGGGTGTGAGACAAAGAGACAGAGATAGAGTTGCCATTTTCTCAGATGGGATGATTGCAGCCAGACCCTTCAGGAGCCCAACTTTTAACTTCTAATCTCTCCTCCCCATGATGCAAAATTTTGTAAAGCTCTCAGCTCTCCAAATATTTGTTGAATTGTACCTTCTGAGGTTTGAGGAAAGAAGGTAATGAGCAGGTCATTCCTCACACTATAAAGAGTGACACTGGGGATGAGATGGTTCGTTTTCAATCTCCTAACGATTGACCCCATAAAAATTTATTTTTCTTGGTATTGAGATTGAACCCACGGCTGCAACCATGCTACACAAGCGCTCCACCACCGAGCTACAGCTTGCCATCTTTTAATTTTAATTTGATAGGGTCTAGCTAAGTTGTTCCGGCTGACCTTGTGATCCTCTTGCCTCAGCCTCCTGAGTTGCTGCTATTACAGACGTGCGCTACCGCGCCAAGCTCATCCCGTAATAATTACAAGGATAGGGACTTCCGTTTTCTTCATCAATGTCTTCTCAACCCTGTCAGTGCTTGACACAGGTAACTCTTCAATAATTACTTCTTGTATGAATAAAAATACTTTCGCTGAGACATATTCTCCATGCTCACCCTCCAGTCAGTCCCAGGATGCAGAATCCCTTTTCCTGGTAAACAAATGAACAAAACAAAAGCGAGATGAGAACCTTCGGACCAAGCCGCCGCAGTACCAATTTAGACTATTCCATATGCAGCGAAAGCTCAGATTGGGCTGGCCTGTGGTGATGAACAGGAATTCAGCCCAATAGAAGGTCCGAGTTTGGGGGTAGGCGTGGCCTGAGGGCTTCGGAGACCGCCTCCTTGTGGCCGCTCTAGCCGCTTGGATGACCCGCTCGTCTCTGCCTACTCAGCTTCCGGTTGGTCCTAGTTCCGCTTCCTCTCTGACAGCGGCGCATTTGCTGGGGGTCACATTGAGCTGCTTGCTGCTTCAGGGGGCGTGTGTGGTGAGTATGAAGGATTTGGGGACCTGAGACCCCAGCCTAGCAGGCTGAGGAACCAGACCCCAGCTTCCCCGATAATGGGCTGAGGCTTCTGGCCGGCGGCAGCCCGCCCGAGACACTGGCATTCAGTTCTTCTGTTGATAGTGACAGCTATGTCTACTGTATGTAGTTCTTTCTTAGTACCAGGCAACATTCTAAGCATCTAATCCTCCTTCCAGCCTCATGATTTAGGATCTATGATTTACCTCGTTAGCCACGAGGAAACTGGGTCGGGGTTTAGTTAGCCCAGTGGTTCCGCCACCTGTCTTGCAAGCGCAAGGTCCCGAGTTCGACCCCTAGTACCAAAGATCCCTGGTACCGAAAAAACAAGGAAACTGAGACTCATAGATGTTAAACGACTTAGCAGAAGATGCACAAGCCACCAGGATTTGGACCCAGTAATGGGACTGCAGTACTTTTAATCCCCAGGCCCACAGGCGTGGGCTCCCGCGGCTTGTTTGGGCCGCATCCTTTCTCCCTGGTGCCTCTTCCCTCCTGCCTTGGACGTTGGAGGGGCCGCAGGATCATCTTTGGGTTCACCCTCACCCACATATATGAGGTCGGGATCTTTCGAAACACCACCCCAGGCCCTGGGACTGTGTCTCATCCTGTGGTACTTTACGACCTGCCTCCTCACCTCCCAGGTACCCGCGGAGACTGTTCTAGTGCCCCAGACGTCCACCCCTGCCTTGGGCCTGTAGAATCCGACACTGGCCGGTGCACCTCTGTGTAGCGCCATAACTCCTCGAATTCTCTGGAGGATAGGCACTTCCTCTCATATTCCTGAAAACTGTGTCATCCCTTCAGAGATATATCAAGTGTTTTCAACCCTGGGCCCACAGAGCCAATAAAATGCAAAGAATACTAGTACTTGAATGAGTGGTGGAGGTGGAGAAGAACACATCCATATTTTTCCTGGCCTGTGATTGAAATATAACATTTCCTTCGGTTAGGAATAGAGGAAGCAACTTCAGGAGTATTAGTAGCAGCTGTGGCTTTGTCAGCAATCCAAATCCCAGATATTCATGCCATATTAGAGTTGCAAATATTACAAAATACCATTTTCGGGCCTGGGATTTAGCTCAGTGGTTCCAGCACCTGCCTCGCAAGCACAAGGACCCAAGTTCAATCCCCGGTACCAAAAAAAAACAAAAACAAAAACAAAAAACTCTATCCACAATACCATTTTCACTCATGCTAACTTAGAAATTGTGCTACTTAATTATTACCTAGATATAACTGATTTTTTGTAATTCTGTATAATTTTTAAAATTCATTTAAACATATTCTGAGAGAGAGGCTTATGGGATTCATCCAACCCTTAGGGAGTTTGTGATAGTAAAACAAATTAAGAACCTTTGCAGGGGAGGTTATGACGGTTAGCTCACCATTTGTGTGCTGTGTGACCTTGCGAAGTCACTTAGATATCCTGTCTCTTCCTGGTGTGGGTAACGGGATAGGAATAGTTCCTGACTTTTAGAATGGATGTGGAAGTAAGATGTATAAAACAGTACCTGGCACTCACTTTGTGAGTGTTAGCTGGTAGTATTTTGGGACCAAGCTTGATTTTACTGAGGAGTTGCCCAGCAACCTGCTATGACTTCCATCCTGATATGTATGCATTTGCCCTCCCTTTGTCTCTTTGTGAAGAGGGAGAAGGTAATAGCTTGATCATGCACAACTCATTCTTCGGGGTCTGGGCCTCCTCCACTGGGCCTGGTTGGTCTGACCTCCCTGTGCTCAGGACCCCTGCCAACACCCCTCCCTTTGCCTCCAGGAGTCAGCACTATGGCAGAAGACATCAAGACCAAAATCAAGAACTACAAGACTGCCCCTTTTGACAGCCGCTTCCCCAATCAGAACCAGACCAGGAACTGTTGGCAGAACTACCTGGGTGAGCAAGGCATGGTGGTGGAGGATGCAGACTTTCCCCCGGTGTTGCTCCTTAAAGCATTAACCTCTTGCCCACTCCAGACAGACTCAGCGTCATGGCTTTTCCTTTTCATTCTTGATACCCTGTCTGGAGGACCCATGCTCCTCATCACCAACATTGTTCAGGATATGGGCCTAAATGAGTAATCCTCCGTGCAGCTGTTATCCACACGCAAATAGATACGGTCAGCACACTTGTCATCTCTACTTATTTTGTGCCATGGCTGGAGCACACTTTTCTCCCTACTAGAGCCCGGCGTGGTGGCGCACGCCTGTAATCCCAGCACTCTGGGAGGCGGAGGCAGGCGGATCACCGCAAGTTTGAGGCCAGCCTGGGCTACACAGAGTTCAAGTCCAGCCTGAAATGCATAGCGAGACCCCGTCTCAAACAAAACAAAAGTGCTAACTCATAGGATATGACCCACCAATTTAATGTGATCACATTTTAGTTTCCCCCCTGCATTTCAGTTTACCTCTTTGTGAACTTTATAAATGCTGTTATATATTCTTTGGTGTTTAGAATTTTTTTTTTACTCAATAGTTTTTTTCAGATTCCTCTATGTGTGTCATGTAGTTTGCTCTTTTTCATTTTTCCACAACCTACTTGATTGAAGGACATGTATGTGATTTCCATTTTGACGCCTGTAGGAATGGTGCTGTTTAGACATTCTTATGAATGTGATTTTATGTATATTTCTCTCTAGGGAATATGCCCAAGACTGGAATACCTAGAGCAATTTTCTTTTTTTAATGAGATGCCTACTTTTTTCTTTCTTTCGTTCTTTCATTTATTTGTTTGTTTGTTTGTTTATTGGTACTGGGGATCAAACTCAGGACCTTATTCTTGAAAGGTGGGCGACACCACTGAGCTACATCCCCGGCCCTGAGATGCCTACTTTTAAAAACCAGATTACCCCCTTGGCCTTCCTCTCTGGGACTCCACACCTTAGCATCAAGACCACCTTCCCCTTGCCTTGCCCTGGTTCTGGACTTTGAAAACTCCCACCCAGTGCTTCCCCATTGTTCCTGACCCCTCAGTAGTTCTTCAGGTTACAGAATCTATTTCGTGAGATGTGTCTAGACTGTTTTAGTACCTCTGCAAACTTGTGTACGTGTGTGTGTGTGTGTGTGTGTGTGTGTGTGTGTGTGTGTGTGTGTAATCATGAAGTAGAAAGTATTTCTGACTTTTAATCAAAAGTATGTTCCAGCCTTGGTTCTAAGCTGACCCTGGCCCTTTTTCATTCACAGACTATCACCGCTGCCAGAAGGCAATGACTGAAAAAGGGGGTGATATCTCTGTGTGTGAGTGGTACCAGCGAGTATACAAGTCCCTCTGCCCCATGTCCTGGGTATGTCCTCCTGCTGGGGCCCTTGGGATACTGGGGCAGGGGCGCAGAGGGAGGGTAGTGATTGGTGGGAATTCATCTCAGTGGAGCAGAGGAAAAACAGAATACTCATGGGGCTCATGCCTTTTCTCCCCCCTAGAATTACCACCCTTCCTCCTTTGAACCCTCAGCTAGTCAGGGCCTTCAGCCAAGGGTACCAAGGTCATCTGGCCGGATCTACCTCACTCTGTTAATGTATCGTGTATATCCTGCTCTTTTTTATTGTGAACATTTTCAAATTATACATGAAAGTAAAGAAAATAATTCAGTGACTCCAAATAATCCGTTATCCAAACTGAATAGTCATCAAGATTTTTTCACATTTCCTTATATATTCCTGGGGGTTTAAACCTGGCCTTTTTTTTTTTCCTTTGATAAGGTCTTATTATATAGTCCAGGCTGTATTTGTGATCCTCCTGCCTCAGCCTCCCGAGTGCTAATATTATAGGCATGCACCACCACACCCAGCTTCTTTCCTTTGCCCAAGTAGTCTAGAGCAAATCAGACATGTCATTCTATCCCTACCTATGTCAATGTGTAGCTCCAAAAAAATGAGGTCACAATAAGGCAATCATTTTGCCCTGATCTAACAAGACCTTTCGTCAGTATTTAATAGTCATTATGCCTTCCCTTTTTATATATAGGATTTATGTTCAACATTACCTTTTTAAATCAAAGGACCGCACTACTATTAGACATATTAGCAGATGTTGGAGACATTTTTTTTTCTTTTTTAATTGCTGAAATTGATCCAAAAATCATTTTTTACTCTGAGACTGGGTCTAAGTTCACTGGACTGGACTCAAACTTGCAGTCTTCCTGCCTCAGCATCCCAGAGTACTAGGATTACAGATGTGTACCATTGCACCTGGCTATGTAATATATACGTCTGTGTCAATTTTTTTATTAGTACACGTTTGCAGCACCTAATGATTACATTCATTGTGAGGAGTGGGTACTTGTACATAACACATCTTAATTCTTTTTACATCCCCTTCCCCTCCCCACTCTAAAGTGCTTTTATTTCATTGTTCCCCTTTTGATGGATATTATGTTGTAGTTGTTCAGTATCTCAGGTATCCTGTGTGTACAGCTTTGGGGCTCATTTCTTTAGAACAAAATACCTTAAGGGCATGCTTTTTCCTCAACTCACTTGGTTCTCCTCTCCCCTCTCTGACCAAACTGTCTCACGTATCTTTGAGTACCCTGGACCCCCAGAATTTCTCCCTGGGAGATGTTGAATAACATAATATGATCCCATAACATCCCAAGGTCTGCACTCGGTACACTTTAGCCATGGTAGTAGGAAGCAGGCATCACCCACCCACCCCCGGCCTCTAGGGCCTGGGCCTGCCTTGTTGCACTTTGCTTTCCTTACTAATACCATTGTACACCTATGTTCATGCCAATATAATTATTCAGTTGTTAGGTAACTATTGTCGGGGGGAGTCCCTAGCCTAGCCCCACCCTGCTTTTTCACTTTTGGGTTAAGGCTACACTAAGTTGCCCATGCTGGGCTCAAACATGGAATCGTAGTGTTAGGATTACAGGCTTGTGCTGTAGTCTCTTAATAGTTAAAAAGTGTTCCCTGCCCAGTTAGCTGTATTTCATCTTCTTTCACTATTTGTTTCTTAGATTTCAATGATTTCCTTAGTTTCCTTTCCATGAAGTAGGATTATTGGAGCAAAGGGTAACTCGTGAGTAGATCAAACCAACCTCTCATTGCCCCTCATTTCCCAGAATTGTATGTTTCAAATGAGAACTATGGACTAAATGGTACGAGTCCAGTATGAAGGATTCAGGTGAACCTCAGACATTAGAAGATAGCCATCCCCAATCACATCATCAAGGAAACAATTTAAAACAACAGAAAAGCTGGGCATGGTGGTACGTACTTGTAATCCCAGCACTTGAGAGGCTGAGGCAGGAGAACTCCAAATTGGAGCCAGCCTGGACCACATAGATTTAAAAAGAAGTGCTTGTTCCTGTGGTACAGAAATTACAAAGGTTGATATTAGCAAGGGCTGGCAGAATAGGTTCTCTCCAGGACGTTGGTTCTTTAAATTGGTCCAGTCACTTTTCAGGTCAAGTTTGGCAGTACTTCTCAAAGTGAAAGATATATATATTTCTCTGATCTGGTAATTCCACATCTAAGCACCATACCAAAATCTTTTTAGGGCTGGGGATTTAGCTCAGTGGCGCTATGCCTGCCTCACAAGGGCAAGGTCCTGAGTTTGATCCCCAGTACTGGGAGGAGGGGGTTCAATACCTGGTACCAAAAAAAAAAATGTATATACAGGATACCTGCTACAGAGTTGTTTCTAATGCGGATCTCTCATAAACAACCAGAGTAGGTAAGTAGTGATATATTTATGTCCATAGCCTTTATGGAGACTGTGTTAATTTGTGTGGCAGAATATATAGGAAAACCTCTAAGGCACATGGGAAAGCCTGTTCGGGACAATCTATATAGGATGACCAATTTGTATATTTTTTTAAAGTATAGAGAGTGTGTGTGTGTATGTGTGTGTAAGTTGACACATTTAAGACACCATACACCAGCTACGTTGTGAGCTCTTTGTGTTACATAAAGTCAAACATTACGAAACAACTATATGAAGTATCTACTACTATCAGTGTCCTTATTTTACAGAATTGGAAACACGAAGGTTGAGTAACTCGCCTGAGGTCACATAGCCAGAAGATGGTGAACCTTCTGGGGTTATTCAGTCAGTCTCCATTGCCCCTGCTTTTCTAGTATGTCAATGTGGGAAGGTGTGTTTCTGTACCTATAAAAATGAATATGCCTACAACTACCTATGAGAAAGTCTACCAGGTAGGCATGGTGGTCCATGCCTGTGAGGCCAGACTTCAAGAAGGAACCTTCCCTCAGGAGGGAAGCGCTGAAGGGCAGACTCAAAGAAGGACTTCCCTAGCCCAGCATGGTGGTGCATGCCTCTAATCCCAATACTCTAGGAGCCTGAGGCAGGAGGACTGCAAGTTCAAGCCCAGCCTGGACAACTTGATGACTCAGTGACACACTGTCTCAAAAAAAATTTTTTAGAAGAGGAATTCCACAAAAAGCGTGTTTTCCTCTCAAGAAAAGAAAAGGGGGGGGGTGTTTTCTTGGAAATGTTACTGTTCCAGCCCATTTTATGCTGTGCTTATGTGTGTGATCAACCCTGCTTGGCATCTCTTTGCACTTAACTACATATTTTGCTGATCCGTTCATGCCAGAACACAGATCAGCCTCATATGTTTTTTCATGGCTGCTTTTTATCTTTTTATTCCTTTTATCCTGACAATAAATATGCTGGTTTGAGTCACCCCTGATTCCCTGGCTGCTGGGACAGTGGTTGGCACCTAGCAGGCACCTGTGGTTATTTGTCTTTTGTCTTGTTTTTAAACAGAAACAGGAAATCTTTATTTAAATAGTGTAGTCTTAATTTCTTTAATATACGCCCCCAATGTTGTTCTTTGTTGACCAAATGCACAGATGGCCATAGTGAGGAAGATGAAGACACCCACCCTTCTTGGTCCCCCCTAGAGGGGAGAGTAACGTCATCTCTCTCTCTCTCTCTGCAGGTCTCAAACTGGGACAACCGCCGGGCTGAAGGCACATTTCCTGGCAAGATCTGAAGTGGCTCTACCTGCTTTTTTGTCCTCTGTCCTTCTCAGTGGTAAAGGGGGACCTGGGTACATGATGGTTCCTATCCTGGGACCCTGAATCATGACTTACTAACAATAAAACTCAGTGGAAAAGTATAAGACTGTGTGCATAAAAGTTGTATGGCTGAGCAAGAAGCTGAGAGAAGGGCCAGGGATGTAGCTCAGCAGCACAGCGCCTTCCTGGCAAGTGCGAGGCCCTGGGTTCGATTCCCGGTACCCAAAAAAAAGTTGTGGGGGGACCTGGGGGAAAATGATGCCCTGACCAGCAGTAAGAAGGATCTCACAGTGATTCTTTTCTCTATTTTTATTTTATGTAACTTGTATTTTGTTTCTTTTGTTTTGCAGTGATGGGAATTGAATCCAGGGTCTTTGTACTAAGCTACATCTCAGACTTTTTTTTTTTTTTTTTTTTTTTTTTTTTTTTTTTTTTTGTACCAGGGATAAAACTCGGCACCTTGTGCTTGGGAGGCAGGTG